TGTGCATGTCTGTGTGGTGTGTGTGTGTGGTGTGTGTGGTGTGGTGGTGTTTGTGTGCATGTTCTGTGTGTGAGTGTGTGTGTGTGTGTGTGTGTGTGTGTGTTGTGTGTGTGGGTGTGTGGGTGTGTGTGTGTGTCTTTGTGTGTGTGTGTGTGTGTGTCTTTGTGTGCATGTATGTGTGTGTGTGTGTGTGTGTGTGTGTGTGTTGTGTGTGTGTGTGTGTGTGAGTGAGTGTGTTGTGTGTCTTTGTGTGTGTGTGTGTGTGTGTGTGTGTGTGTGTGTCTTTGTGTGCATGTCTGTCTGGCTGTGTGTCTGTGTGTGTGTGTCTTTGTGTGCATGTATGTCTGTCTGTGTGTCTGTGTGTGTGTGTGTCTTTGTGTGCATGTATGTCTGTCTGTCTGTCTCTGTGTGTGTGTGTGTGTGTGTGTGTGTGTGTGTGTGTGTGTGTGTGTGTGTGTGTGTGTGTGTGTGTGTATGCGTGTGTGTGTGTGTGTGTGTGTGTCTTTGTGTGCATGTCTGTCTGTCTGTGTGTCTGTGTGTGCGTGTGTGTGCGTGCGTGCGTGTGCATGTGTGTGTGTGTGTGTGTGTGTGTGTGTGTGTGTGTGTGCGTGTGTGCGGTGTAGCCACACATCTTAAGAGCTGAGTTGATCCCCGGGTCGTTGCCTGCAGACGGAGACGGAGCGTTAGCGTCCTCTTTAATGATCAAACACAGGTGAAGATGGAGCTTTCTGCTGACTGCTCTAATGTGAGAGGACTTCTCCACAGGAAGCAAAACTTCATCTTTCCAAACTGTGAAGTCGGGAATCAGTCCTCAGCAGTGATGGTGCCGGAGACGGAGAAAATATGTTGATTGGTCAGAGAGCGGGGAAACTGAGACGCCCCTCTCTTTGGACACTGTCTGTTGTTTTATCTAACTTATGCATTTGTTTATTTGGCAGGGACATTGGACATTAATGAACACTTAAAACATGACATATGCCAAGTGTAAATATGCCGGATTTAGCTTTGAGCTACTTTCCATCCACAGTCCCTCACATACAACATTAAGAAAATTAAAATTACAAACATAGCAGTAGGCTACAAATACATCAAATGCAAGACAAGTGCAAACCTGTTGTCGTCTTGCCATCTAGATCGTTTGAAGTATGATCCATCTTTTTAGATTTTTGGATATAGAAGATGGGTTGTTAATGAGATTTGAGATTTAGAAGAAATTATAAAGAGTTGTTTTAGGCGAAGATTTCCACTTTCATCAAATGTCCTCGAATTTGAATCCTTAAAGCCTCGTGTCGAAGGTCCTTCTCTCATTATAAATGAATAATACCTGTTTTTCATGCAAAAATCACAGGAAAAAAAGTTGTTTTCTGACTTAAATATTGAGATTTCCTGCTTTTCTCTTTTTAAAATCATAATAAAGTGAATATATTTGTATTTTGGACCGATAAAACGAGACATTTTAAGACATCACCGTGGACTTTGAGGGACTGGGGTGGACATTATTCAATCTCTTCTGACATTTTATCGAACAAAAGATGAATGTTGATATTAATTGGCTGATTTCTCAATGAACAAGTAATCGTTAGATACCATGCATAGTCCCAATTGAATGTCCCATATATAGTCAAGCTCTGTCTAACTCGCCAGAAAGTATTTACTAATTTACTAACAACTAGTTTTGTAGATTAACTGGTAAATATATTGTTGAATTCACAACTTTTGCCATAAAGGAGTTTCTACTGTTTACTCCTGAAATACCTTTGAGCTGCAGTCACATCCAGGGTCGGCGTCATGGGGGGTCATTCACGGGCCATGCCCCCCCAAACGAGTCACTGTGCCCCCCCCCCAACGCAGGGTGGGCAAGCCTTGCCACTTTGCCGTTTTTTGTTGTTGTAATCATATAAGTGAAAACGTTTCCACTAAATGTTTTTTGTGTGAAATACGTCAGAAATAAAGAATACAAATATAAAACACAGCCTGAGGTGTGCTCACTGCTGCTCTCTGATTGGTGTGTTGCTTGACCTATGACCCCCGACTTTTTTTTTGTTATCATTACGTGGCTGTGTGTTCAGATGAAAGCCAGTGGCGATCTGTTCATCTGTTAAACTGATTATACAGTAAAGCCATCGAAAATAATATGATATACAGTACAGTACAAGTAGCCTACTTCTGGGTCTCTGTGTTTCATTCAAGCTCGGCTCTGTGTGTGTGTGTGTGTGTGTGTGTGTGTGTGTGTGTGTGTGTGTGTGTGTGTGTGTGTGTGTGTGTGTGTGTGTGTGTGTGTGGCACGAGCGCATTTTGTGAGTGCGCGAGCGGTAACGTGGAATGTTGATGTTAGCATCTGGTTAGCTAGCTATGCTAACGGAAATAAAGAGCTGTTTCTACACCAAGGTGGAGGAGAGTCCTCTCCTGTCAGACATCAGAGAGGATCGTATAACGTCAGCTCAGTGAGGTAAGGACTCTCTCAGTGTTTAGATAGTTCACTTTAGTGTAAGTTATCTCAGTGGGTCTCAAACGGTTTGGTCACCATTTATGTAAACAAGTATTTGCGAGGAACACCTTTATATGATCATTATAGTTATTAAAGAATAAGAGAATACATGAAAAACGGGTATGAAATACTATAGGACAGTAACACAAGAATACAGTTTAAAAGTGATTAGTAAAATATCCATAAAGAAAAAGTAAATCTGTTTACAGTTCTGTTTCACATGGATGCTGAGAGATGTAGGCTATCCATAGATCTCTTCATGTTGCTCTCAAAGTGCACCAGATTGATGCTTTTAACTTCAATATTTTAAAAATAATCTTCCCGGAGGAGCATGCCCCCCGACCCTCCTAGAGGAGGTTAGGTCCACCCCCACCTAAAACATGTTCACATGGATAGGATACTAAATACATTTGCACACTTTTTATATGGTGGCCTATGTCCATATGTTTCTGTTTTGGTGGTTGTGCCACAACCGTGCATGTATGCACAAGTCATAGGTGCGCTATAAAATAGCACATACACCCCTGCAATGGTGTTTGTGTGTTGGTTGTTGACAGCAGTGTGTGCCCCCCCTTGGTAAATAATTGCCCCCCCATTCGATTTGTTCTAGAGCCGACCCTGGTCACATCCTGAGAAGCTGAACATGCTCTCCCAATTAAAGCACCTCCCTTTACTCTCCTCATCTTCACTGCTTGTACTTTCTGCACCAAGAAGCCGAGTGTCAAGCAGGCCTTTCTAAAAAGCTCTGAGCTCATTGACACTTCTCTCCTCTCATAATAACGGTCATTATCTGCAGATCACATCTCTCTGCCTCTTTTCTTAAAAAGGCGAGTCCCTTTTAACTTTTAGGTGCGGCTGTTCTGCGGTCGCACCGACCCCCAGAGTTATTCTGGACCATCTCTTTGTCTTTCGCCGTCGCAGCGGGACGACAATGTCACCCTTTTTTAATTATGAGGACATTATTTAAACCTTCATCAGTCGTGGTCTCTGGACAGGGTAACACCGGCAGCCTCTCCGTCTTACAGCCGGGTCATTTTTTAATATGAGATGAGGGCATGTTATTAGTAAATAAGGGCAGAACGGCTCAAAGTGAACTTCAGTGTAGGACTGGGTGTAATGGCACAGGCATTATGATTAAATGCATTGTAAGCAAGGTCTTGTAGCTTTTTGGACTCAGACTTGACTAATATTGTCATAGTTTAATGAAACAAGTTGTCTTTTGTATGTGGGATCTGCAGTTGCATTTATCACCTCCACCATGAAGGCATTTTGGGGCAATAATCAAAGGAATGAACAGAAAGGGAAAAAGAAAGTTATTGCAGGATTGTTGATGTAAAAGAATAGCGTAAAATAAAAATGGGAACTGAGCGAAATATAGAGATTTAACGATAACCGCTTTAACGCAGAATCTACAGGAAAAAATATATATAATTGTGCTTTCAGTGTCTTTTTTGGCGAATGAATTGGGAGGCTCTGGATTATTTAAAATATATGATATGTGTATTATTAAAAGTGTCAACAATAGTTCATTTGTTAAAAATTACAGTTATGTTAAATACCAATAAATAGCAACACCCCCTCAAATATTTTTAAACCTACACATCTTTAACGGTCCGTCCACACGGCGGCGTGCCTTGAAGTTTAGACGGAAGCATCAGCCAATCAAATCATATGCCAGTACAAGCTCTAGCCAATCGAACCGCGTGCTTGTGTGTCCGGGGCGGGAGATTCATGTGATTGGTTGTTGGTCGAGCTTCAGACACGCCCACCGGCAAGCTTCAACGCACGCCGCCGTGTGGATGCTGCGTGAAGGATCCTTATATATAGTATTGCAAAACTCAAGTATATCAATAATTCATTTCACGGTTTTAATCTTGTTCACTGACAATGACCCCTCTCTCGACACTGTGATACAACTCCTTGTTGTTGCAGCATTCATGCACGATGTTGTAATTGTTCCATGTATCATGATGTGTGCGCGCACGTGTGTATCATTATTTTGATTTGTCCTCCTGTGGCTGGGCAGCAGGACACTTGAGAGATGAGGCGTCGGAGGTGCAGCTCTACCTCCGACAGCTCTGTATTAAACCAATTATTCACTTTCAGACGTTGTTTTCTGCCACTGCGAATGTTTTGTTTACACGGCTCAAACATTGTTTTGCGAATGGGGGTGTCATCTACGGAGCAGCAGCTGGGAGTGTAAACATGTTTCCCCTCCTGGAGGATAAATAAAAAGGCTGCTGTTAGAAGATTTCATTCTGAGAAGCTTCTCTCTGGGGCTCTTCTGCACTAAGAAGCAAAAACCCTTCAATTAGCACGGCTTCATCTTAGCACCAAAGTCACCTTCATATCCTCCCTAAATGAATACCAAACATCACTTCCAATCAATCAGAGTGTATTAACTTCTAAAGTATTCCCCTTTGCATCATTAATACACAACAAAAACATCCCCTGCTTCATGCTCATTGTAAGGTCATGTACAAACACACCTGAGTGCACAGAAGAAAAACTGTAGACGCAATCATTTAATCTTTTTAATTCCCGATCACACAAGGCACAGCTGTGTTTGTTGTGATGACAGTTCTCTGGATGCAAATTGGGTTTCGCAGGAGTTGGAAAAACTCCCGGGTGAGTGGGGGACGAAAGAGTCTGTGTTATAGATCCCTCTGGTCCGAGCAGCGCAGCGTCATTGAGATTTACAGTATAATGATAAATGACTTTTTGTAGGATTAAAATCTGTCTTAATTACCTCAAAAACCAATCCAACCAACTTTGGGATTGAGATACAATTTTCAAATTATGATTTATGTGTTCTTTAAAATGAATCACTTCAGAGGTAACCTGTGGAAGTGTGTTGCAGAAAAATAAAACCACTTCCTGATGGACTATCAAGGCTTTCCTGTGTGTTGCTGGATGACTTCAGGGTATTGTGTTTTTTTTTTATCGAGGTCGGAGCGCTGCCAGTCTCATCACAAAGTGAAATGTTTTCCCCAGACACGATGAACAGAGGCGTCTGCACTAAAAGCATTTTCACACTGCAGGACCAATCTGCTGCAGTATTGCTGTGACCCAGAATCCTTTCTGTTCAAACAGCAAAGCCCCCGATGATGCAGTGAACCAAAACCCCAGGCTCGGCCGTGGGGGTGTAAACTACCTCCAGCATCCACGATTTTACGGTTATAAAGGTTACAGCTGAGCATGCTTCTTTTTTTCTCTTCCAAAAGGTGTTAAAAGGACCAGTGGCTGCAGCTAAATGTGCTTATCTGTGCTCAGCCCCAGATGTCCTGCAGGTAGCGTTTCTCCTCCCTCAGAAGGGCCACAGTCTTCATGGCGTCCAGCTGATCCACCTGCAGCTCCGCTCTGATCGCCTCCAGCAGCGCGTCGTTCACGTCTTTAGCCATGTTCTTAGCATCTCTGGGGGAGAAGAAAGGGAGAGTAAGTCAGAGGAAAGGCGGTGTAATCCATAGAAATGGTTTTAGGGCAGTCCTACATGTGACTAAGACGGTGTTATTGGAAGTAATAATGACATTTTACTGAAAATAAACTCAACAAAATGATATCCTAAACATAAAATAAAATCAACAAAAAATCTATTCAGTTTTTTAGCTATAAGATAAGAAAGAACAGGTAATAGTTCACACATGGATAATAGAAATACAATATAACAACAATATAATTAAGTACAACAATACATCTAAACCAGGGGTTCTCAAAGTGCGGCCCGCGGGACAATGGCGGCCCTCGGAAATGTTTCTGGCGGCCCGCGATAGTTAATGTGACACGCTGAAATGCATGCGTTATATTTTAATCCTCCATGGTTCGTATCTAGTAAGAATTAGAATGGAATTTAAGAATGGTAAAACTGCGCCCCCTGGGTTGTCATTCCTAAATTATGAATGACAGCTTGTGGAAAGTTTGCTAGACTACTGGTTGCATGGCAACTAGGCATCTCGCGAGTTGCGGTTAAGCGGAAAATCTGTTGTTATCAGAATCAGAAACGGGAGTTAGCTAGCGATTTTAGCTAGTCACTGTCTGTAGATAATCCAACTTTGTGTCCTCTGCAAGTTCTTAATGTATACTGTATGTATAATTGGTTAGTACAATAAAGAAAGGATTTGTTTTGGAATTATTTGGTGTTCAGTTTTTTCTTGGGCGGCCCTCAATCCAATATTGGGTACCTAAATTGGCCCTCACTCATCAAAACTTCGAGAACCCCTGATCTAAACTATATTGTATTTAGCTACAGAACAAAGTGAATTTCAGGCAAATCTTTGACCTCAAAACACGGACATTAAACGCTAAAAAGTGCTGCTGGACTGAGGGAGACAAGCCAAGTTTATAACCACAACACACGTTTAACTTCATGGCCATTCATACACCGCTTTCCAACCTTGTGTTTCACGTGTATATAGAAGTAAACACTTGGGAGATATTATACCTGGCCCTAACAATAATTAAACTTTCTGTAAAAACTGAAGCTAAACTAAAATGCACTCTAAAAACATCCAGCAGAATAAAATCAAGACAATATAACAACAATATAATTAGGTATACAATACATATAATTGGACTGGACTGTCCACTCCAAGTAGGAAATGAGGCCTTACCCCAAGTGAAGGAGTTCAAGTATCTCGGGGTCTTGTTCTCGAGTGAGGGAACAATGGAGCGTGAGATGGGCCGGAGAATCGGAGCAGCGGGAGCGGTACTGCAGTCGCTTTACCGCACCGTTGTGACGAAAAGGGAGCTGAGCCAGAAGGCAAAGCTCTCTGTCTACCGGGCCATTTCCCTTCCTACCCTCACCTATGGTCCTGAAGGATGGGTCATGACCCAAAGAACGAGATCGCGGATACAAGCGGCCGAGATGGGTTTTCTCCGCAGGGTGGCTGGCGTCTCCCTTAGGGATAAGGTGAGAAGTTCGGTCATCAGGGAGGGACTCGGAGTTGAGCCGCTCCTCCTTCGCATCGAAAGGAGCCAGTTGAGGTGGTTCGGGCACCTAGTAAGGATGCCACCTGGGCGCCTCCCTAGGGAGGTGTTCCAGGCACGTCCAGCTGGGAAGAGACCAAGGGGTAGACCTAGGACCAGGTGGAGGGATTATATCTCTTCGCTGGCCTGGGAGCGCCTTGGGACCCCCCAGTCAGAGCTGGTTGATGAGGGGAAAGGAACGTTTGAGGCTCTCTGCTGGAACTGATACCCCGAGACCCGACCACGGGTAAGCGGGAGAAGATGGATGGATGGAATACATATAAACTATAATGTATATCGGTACAGAAAAAAGTGAATTTCAGTCCAATCTTTTGACATTGAAACAGAAATGAGGGAGATCATCCAAGTTTATAACCACAACACACTTTTAACTTCCGCTTTCCAGCCTTGTAGTTCATATGTATATATAGCAGTATTACACTTGGGACACTTGGGAGATATTATACCTGGTCCTAAGAACAATGAACCTTTCTGTAAAAACTGAAGCTAAACTAAAACGCACTCTAAACACATCCGGCTAACACGAGAATAAACTCAAGAAATCAAGACTAAAACAGAACAACTAGTGAAACTGTCTCTCTTACACAATCCTAATCTGTTAAAACCCTGCTCTGTGCACAGTGAAAACCTATATTTAGTAAAAGCAGCTTCCAGGAGATCCTCCTGCTGTGTCTGAGTCTTGCTGCTGCAGCATATTGAAGAGATTCATCATCCAGAGCACCTCAAGTGATTTTTACTACTCTGAGGAATTCACACAGGACTGAAGCTTCAAAGATCGTTTACTCAAAGCAAGGCGAGCGTGATGAGAAAGTCTCAGACTGAGATAAACAAGTGTTGACATGACGCGACTTTTGTTTAGCTTGTATTGACAGGAACAATATGTATGTATAGCAGCGCATACAAAACACTGTCCAACATGTTGCATCAGTTTGAGGAGTTAGAGAGGTGATGTGAGCAGACAATTCACAACATCACTTCCTTATTTGTTGTGCCTTCCTCCCAAGCAAAACGAGTCATTAATATAGTCGTTATTTAGCACCGGATACAGCTCAGAGTTCACAAAGTGGCAGTGTTTACTTTAGTTTGTGACACTCTGTTAAAGTAAGGCTGTTTGAAGCTCATTAATATTCACATTGTTGACATTGGAGTGACATTCGAAAGCTGTCTTTTCATTGTGTTTGAAGACTTCTGCGTGGATTTGTGCTCAGTTGCATTTAAATGTAGCTACACTAATATTATAAGGAGAGTTATATTCCAGCGGTGGATGCGTAGGATTGTCTCAGGCTCATGTGATCCAAACACAAGTGTTGTAAAGTCCAAAAGTCAACATTTATTTAAAAAAGTAAAATTGCTTTCATTTTTAAAACGTGTTTTTATCCAAGTAAACATCCGGCTTCGATCCATAGTTGTTGGCGGTTAACCTTAAAATATTTTTACTGCGCTTAAAAGTTTGCTTATTCGCGAGTTAAACTTAACAAATAAAGTGGATTTAATTCAATAAAACCAACAAACTTTATCATATGAATCCGTCAGATCAAACTGTGATGACCCATTTATTTATTTACCGCAAATGAATCGAGAATAAAATATATTGAAATGTGAATGTTCAGTCTTACCCGCAGACATAGAGGAAGCCCTTCTGTTTGAGCAGGATGTCAGTGACGTGTTTTCTGTTTCTCAGCAGGTTGTGCTGCACGTATCTGGGCGGTGCTGTGGAGGTGAAGCCCTCTTCCTCCTCTTCCTCTTCCTCCGGATCATCTCTGGAGAAACACACCTTCAGATGGCTCAGTGCTCCGCTGGAAACAAAGCCCTCCAACTCCTCTCTGAGACAAGGATGACAGAGACACATTATTTTAGCTCATTGTTAGTCCAATTTAATTCCAAGTTATTCCGGAAATCTTCTTCCTGATTTGAGGAAAGGTTTCTCTCCAAAGCTAGAAGAGAAAAGAGCTTTGAGGGATAGATAGAGGATTTAATGGAGAATATACAGTAGTGCAATGCCAATAAGTACATTTACTCAAGTATTATAGTTAAGTAAAACTTCAGGTACTTGTCCATCCATCCATCTTCTCCGCTTATCCGTGGTCGGGTCTCAGGGTATCAGTTCCAGCAGAGAGCCCCAAACGTTCCTTTCCCTCATCAACCAGCTCTGACTGGAGGATCCCAAGGCGCTCCCAGGCCAGCGAAGAGATATAATCCCTCCACCTGGTCCTAGGTCTACCCCTCGGTCTCCTCCCAGCTGGACGTGCCTGGAACACCTCCCTAGGGAGGCGCCCAGGTGGCATCCTAACTAGGTGCCCGAACCACCTCAACTGGCTCCTTTCGACGCGAAGGAGGAGCGGCTCAACTCCGAGTCCCTCCCTGATGACCGAACTTCTCACCTTATCCCTAAGGGAGACGCCAGCCACCCTGCGGAGAAAACCCATCTCGGCCGCTTGTATCCGCGATCTCGTTCTTTGGGTCATGACCCATCCTTCATGACCATAGGTGAGGGTAGGAAGGGAAATGGCCCGGTAGACAGAGAGCTTTGCCTTCTGGCTCAGCTCCCTTTTCGTCACAACGGTGCGGTAAAGCGACTGCAGTACCGCTCCCGCTGCTCCGATTCTCCGGCCCATCTCACGCTCCATTGTTCCCTCACTCGAGAACAAGACCCCGAGATACTTGAACTCCTTCACTTGGGGTAAGGACTCATTCCTTCACTTTATACATTGCATTTTGTAGGCAATTGTTGTTTACTTCATTACATTAACTTGCAGCTTTAGTTAGTAGCTTTAATATTCTTCTTACAGATTTAGATTATGAATACAAAATATCAATCATCTAATAGATTATGATATATCTCTGTATGTACAAGCAGAAAAGCTCAATTAAAGCGCACCATTGAACGATTAAAACAATAATGCCTTAATATTTATAGTACAATAGTTGAATGTATTTGATACAGAAATGGGCCTTACTGCATATTGACTACTTTTATTTTTTCTAGAACTTTTTCTTTTGGAGTAAAGTTGTGAATGCAGGACCTTTTCTTTTACTGGAAACATATATGTAAATGTGTATTGTAACCTAGGAATATAGAAAACGCCAGCCTTAAAGCCAAGTATTCAAAACAGTTAGCATATGCACCCTTTCACATCTAACACTCGCTTATATTTAGCTACATGTTTAAGACGAGACGTACATAACCCCAGAACATTTCCTAAACTGTCACGCTTGATGAAGCAGATGGGCGAAAGGTCTGAACCAATTTGTTGTGTTTAATGAGACAAATCCCCCCAAAAATAGGGATTTCATCAGCAAGGTCGAGCCTCTGTTTTAAGCATATTTTTTAAATCAATCGTGCAGCCTTCAGTCGGGGATAACCTCGCTCTCTGTCGGAGTTTCGCCTGCCAAATACGCCTTCTTCTGTTTCGCCGTCTCTACAGAGCCGAGGGAGGAAAGGAAGGAGGAGGAGGCGGAGGAGGTGAGGGGAGGAGGTTTAGTGTGCTCACAGCAGCTTGTTTTAAGTTAAGCAGTCCGAATAGGCAGGAACACACACACACACACACACACACACACACAGACACACACACACACACACACACACACACACACACACACACATAACAAGCGGCAACTCCAGGATCATGGGTGAAGGTCCTCGCCTAAGGGGTCTGTGTTTTGCAGCAACCCCTAGTCTGAAATAAGGTATTTTCACACAAGAGCACACACACACACACACACACACACACACACACACACACACACACACACACACACACACACACACACACACACACACACACACACACACACACACACACACACACACACACACACACACACACACACACACACACACACACAGTCTGCAGAGTAAATACTAAAGGGAGGGATGAGTACTGCTGTCTTTGTTCTGTGTGAAGCAGACAGAAAATGTTGCTTCTCCACAAATGCGTACCATCTAACGGCAGCAAACATATATTAGGTATTAAGTTACTGTATATCGATTCTCAAAAACACTGAATTGGTTTTTAATTAACGGATATAAAATATATACATCTAGCAATTAATCCAGCGTCTCTTAAATAAGTCCTGTTTCTTCTTTCATGTACAGTCAAGGTTTCTCTCTCCGCCTTTCCGCACTAAAGTTCCATTTTATAAATGTGTAATAAAAATGTATAGACCTTAATATCACGATATTATGTTTTGTGATACTGCATGGATCTCAAAAACACTGTCTGGTTTTTTAAATGAATACTAGGATGGTGCTTTATACCAGGTTTAAGGATCACCGTGATGTAAAGAAAATGAAATATGGATATCAGGTGAAAATAGCGTCTCTTACATCATATGTGTGTCTCCCTCTTTTTACACACAGGTGTTTCAAAAGTCATTATTTTGACCCAAAAGAAACAAAAGTAGATCCCACTCTTCTGATTGTATTGAAAAGTCAACTTTCTTTACTCATATTTGTATGCAGGTAGTGAGTTCTGTATACTCGGACAGTTTTCCTGAAATAAAATGGAAAAACTGGCCAAATATCACTTTTCTTACAGTTTCAGAATATAATCAATCCAGAGCGCTACTGTGTAACTTTTGATTGTTGGTGTAAAATATCATTATTTTGACCAACATATACTTTTTTCTTTAGATGTTACACATACGCTGGTCTGTTCATATACTATGAGTTGTTTCTGCAAATAACTTGTGGGAAATTGAAGGATATTGCATATTAACAGTCGATTTTATGCTAACAGTATCTCAAATATACGCACTGCAGTCTAACCTTTGGCTGATGATGTAGTCAACTGTGTGATTACAACGTCTGTGTGAACTGGAGAGAAGTCGCATGAATAACAAAAAGAGAAAGATGGTTCAGTTTGGTTTCATTATAACCATCAGATAGATAATGGTGTGAGGAGAAACTGGAGGAAGAGAGGACGGTTGACTCGTTATAAAAACAGCAGTGTTTCAGAGAGTGTATACCTGCTGACTTCTGTGTGAGTCCACACACACACACACACACACACACACACACACACACACACACACACACACACACACACACACACACACACACACACACACACACACACACACACACACACACACACACACACACACACACACACACACACACACACACACACACACACACACACACACACACACACACACACACACACACACACACACACACACACAGCCTGGGGCAACATCCCAGACCTTATCTTGAACCCAGCAGGTCTTCAGTGATGTTTCCACAGCAAGAAAACACTGGCCGTGAAGAGGCAGAGGAACGGGAGGGAGAGGGGGAGAAAGGGAGAAGTTTGGTGTGACACCCAGGCAGATTGGGAGGGAGGGAGAGGGGGAAGCAGTTTGATGTGACACCCAGGCAGATTGGGAGGGAGGGAGAGGGGGAAGCAGTTTGGTGTGACACCCAGGCAGATTGGGAGGGAGGGAGGAATAGAGAGAAAGGGAGAGGGGGAAGCAGTTTGATGTGACACCCAGGCAGATTGGGAGGGAGAGGGGGAAGCAGTTTGATGTGACACCCAGGCAGATTGGGAGGGAGAGGGGGAAGCAGTTTGATGTGACACCCAGGCAGATTGGGAGGGAGGGAGAGGGGGAAGCAGTTTGGTGTGACACGCAGGCAGATTGGGAGGGAGGGAAAGGGGGAAGCAGTTTGATGTGACACCCAGGCAGATTGGGAGGGAGGGAGAGGGGGAAGCAGTTTGGTGTGACACGCAGGCAGATTGGGAGGGAGGGAGAGGGGGAAGCAGTTTGGTGTGACACGCAGGCAGATTGGGAGGGAGGGAAAGGGGGAAGCAGTTTGATGTGACACGCAGGCAGTAAGTGCTGCTGATTGAGAAGCCTCGTTTCTTTTTGGATGGATATTAGGAACACGATAAAAGAGCTGGTCACATCCATTTATACTTTTTTGAGGTACTTCAGGTAACACAAAGTTCTTCATAAGCAAAAACTACTTATAATACTTACCCACCCTGTCCCAGGTCATCAACAGAGTAACTCAATGCTACAATACTTGTAGTTTAATTAGAAATGCAATGTTATGCTACTTTATACTCCTACTCCAATACCATGGGTTATTAATCTAAAAAGATCTAATACATTATGATGTTCTTTTATTGATTAATATATACCTGAAAGTAAAAACAATTAATTGGCTTTCACCTTTAAAAGTTGCAAATTAAACCTATTAATATATCACTTACTAAAATACAGTGATATAATGCATGTTATTTCAAAAAATACATGTGAGTACTTTATAGTACTCACATGTATTTTGATGCTGATACTCTCGTACTTTTACTGAAGAAAAAATGCCAGACTTTTACTTGTAACGGAGTATTTCTACACTGTGGAATTAATACTGTTACCTTTTGTTAAAGTACTTCTTCCACCTCTGGTCACAATCCTGTCTCCATATCTTTAACAGGGTTTCCGCTAGGATTTTTTCTCGCCGGTCAAATGTCCGGGCAGAATTTATTTTATCGGACAAATTTGAAACTTACCGGTCATATTTCAATAATAATAAAAAGAGTTGTGTAGCAGAGTTTCCGTTAGCAGGAAATTACCGGACTATGAGCAGATATGCTGATGTTTAA